CCCCGATTTCGGGCATCCCCAACCGTCGCCCTGGGGTCCGTTAAGGGTGGCTTCGGGGCCCGAGGTCTCTCTCACCGGTCGCGACAAATCATCTACCTGCGTATTTTACCGAACATACCGGCTATCTGTCCGATCCGACAAACACCCGTCTAGGTGGCGGTTCGCACGGCCGACCTGCGGCAAGCTCCGGTTCTTCCGGACCCGGGACCAGTTCCGGACATATCCCCACCAGGAGTCTGCTTTTCTCTCATTCCACGTCCCCCGGAGGGAACTGCCCTCTAAATTATGCCAAACGATGGGCGCGTCACCCCTAAAGCCCCAACCTTGCTGAATCTGTCAGAATTACATTTTTTACTCCGCGTCGTTACATTTTTATTCCGATTTAATACGTGTTTTTTTAATTAATTAACAATTAGCTCTTTGTCAGGGGTCTATGGGGTCCGGGTGGGACCAGATCCCGGGGCCTCGTCAGCCTCCTCAAGACGTAGGAATCATTTAGAATTTATTATTTGACATTCTTTTGTCACGATTATTAGAGAAATTTAGCCTCCTAAAGACGTAGGAATTATTTAGAATTTACTATCTGACATTTTTTTGTCACGATTATTTTAGAAATTTAGCCTCCTCAAGACGTAGGAATTATTTGGAATTTATTATCTGACATTTTTTTGTCACGATTATTTTAGAAATTTAGCCTCCTCAAGACGAAGGAATTATTTGGAATTTATTATCTGACATTTTTTTGTCACAATTATTTTAGAATTACAGGAATTATCGCAAGTCGTAGAGGCGAAGTCGCGTGGGTCGGTCCAAAACCGCCGTTCGGTAATTCTTGGAGGATGTATAGACGAGCCGGTGGTATAACGCGAGCCCTCGAATAAATCTGTATAATTAGGGAACGGCGGGCCCCCCGATGGCAGAGGGGCCCGGTCGGAAGTAAGCTGGTTCATTTTTTCCTGCCGCCCTGTAGGGCCCAGGGGGGCAGGGGAGGTTAGTAGCCCCATAGGCTCACCTTTGAAACACCTGGCTATTACCACTGGGTGTTTTATGCTACCATATGCGAGCGGGCCCCACCGGGACTAGCCGGACCCATTTTCAGGGCCCATTTTCGGGGCCCGGCCGGGATCCTCGGGGCATGTGCGCGGAACATCCCGAGGGGGATATCTTCTCCCCAAGGGGAAGTTGGATGTGCCGCCGGGTGCCACGGTGTGCCACTTTGCTCCCAGGAAGCCCTTCCATTGGTCCAGCATCCTGGGGACTGGCCCCCCTCTTCCAGCCTCCTTTTACACGAGATACTAATTTTTCCTTTCACGCCGCGACGATTTTTCCCGCCCCTCTTTCCACCTTTTTCTTCTCCGTCCTCTTCTCTTATCGGTAGAATCAATACGCGCCTATAATATCACGAGAAATTATTCCGAATAATAGGACTTTTAGCGGAAACAATTTATTGTTGGATTCATATTTTATAAGACATTTTTTAAATACCTATGAGCAATTAGAAAAAAAAATTGAAATTTCATGGGTTTCAGGACCTTCGTTATAGTCTCCACATTCACGGTGTAAACTTTGAAGCGATTCGATGTAATCAGTTTAGAGAAAAGTTTCATAAACGAGACCTCTGCGTAGCCACTTTCGCATCACCTTAACCCTGCATTCATATTTCATAAGAAATTTTTAAAATACCTATGAGCAATTTAAAAAAAAATTGAAATTTCATGGGTTTCAGGACCTTCCTTATAGTCTCCATATTCACGGTGTAAACTTTGAAGCGATTCGATGTAATCAGTTTAGAGAAAAGTTTCATAAACGAGACATAGCCAACTTTCGCATCACCTTAACCCTGGATTCATAATTCATAAGAAATTTTTAAAATACCTATGAGCAATTAAAAAAAAATTGAAATTTCGTGGGTTTCAGGACCTTCCTTATAGTCTCCATATTCACGGTGTAAACTTTGAAGCGATTCGATGTAATCAGTTTAGAGAAAAGTTTCATAACCGAGACCTCTGCATAGCCACTTTATAAGAAATTATTAAAATACCTATGAGCAATTAAAAAAAAAAATTGAAATTTCATGGGTTTCAGGACCTCCCTTATAGTCTCCAATTTCACGGTGTAAACTTTGAAGCGATTTGATATAATCAATTTAGAGAAAAGTTTCATAAACGAGACTTAGCCACTTTCGCATCACCTTAACCCTGGATTGATACGTATCTGCACAGGGTGAAAAATGATTCTCATTCCCGGTCATTCTAGGGGAAGTTAACGAATGACGTAACGCGTCGATCCTTGACTCCCGATCCTCGATCCTCGATCTTGGGCTTCGATCCTCCGGAATGACCGGCGATACTCCCGCTCGCGCTATCCCTGCACGCTCAGCACGCGCGCGGACACGCGTTGCGAATTTATTCGGTCGTTAGCGCGACAGAGAGCCTGACTCCGCAGCCGGATAAGCGCGGGGAGCCATTTGCGAGCTGCGATTCGAATCGTCGATCTCTATCCCCTTTCTCTCGCCCTGCCCTCCGCGGCCGACGCGGCTTTTCCGCTCCGAGAGCCCCGCAACGCCCACGCGCGCCCGACCCGGCCACGACTCGCGACTCGCCGCATCTCCGAAAGTATAAAAACGTACTTTATCATTTATGAAATAAAAAGGAAAAAAAAAAATTGATCCGACCCGACCACAACTCGCCGCATCTCCGAAAGTATAAAACGCACTTTATCATTTAAAAAAAAGGAAAAAAAAATGGATCCGACCCGACCACAACTCGTGACTCGCCGCGTCTCCGAAAGTATAAAAACGCACTTTATCATTTAAGAAAAAAAAGGGAAAAAAAAATTGATCCGACCCAGTCGCGAGTCGCCGCATCTCCGAAAGTATAAAAACGCACCTTATCATTTAAAAAAAAAAAAGGAAAAAACAATGGATCCGACCCAACCGCAACTCGCGACTCGCCGCATCTCCGAAAGTATAAAAACGCACTTTATCATTTAAAAAAAAAGGAAAGAAAAAATGGACGACCCAAATAAACGTCATACCCATCATCCTCAAACCTGGATATTAAGGCTAAAGAAAGTCTGTAAAAAAAAAATTCCCGAAGGATGTAATTGTCGTAATTGAGATAACGAGGAGTATTAGGAGGTTAATCGTCGTGACGGGGTTTTTCTGTTAACGCGGACGGATTTTATCGCGACAGGGGGTCGAAAACGGGATTCACGTCGGGATACTCTCGAGCGCGCGGCGCGGCGGCCATTTTGAATTTCCCGCGGGAGAATTTCTCCCGATAGCGACACGCCACGCGGCGAGACTGTCCGCGGTAGATATACCGATATACCGTCGATAATGCATAATCTATGACGCATAATAAACGAGTCTAAGCGCCGTCGAGATAATCGTACCTGTTGGACGGGAATCGCCTCGCGGGGCCGGACTTAAGCCCTCGCGATTGGAAGTCCTGCCGCATAATTCTAAGCGCGTTCGCGGTGGATTTAGTTCGGGAATACTCACGCAAAAATGGCGGCCGTCGAAGAAGTCGAGCTCCTTCCCCGGTAAAATCAAACGAAATCCTGACCCCTCGACATCCCCCCGTGGCACAAAAAATCCCTCCACTCCCATTCACAGTTTCTCAACTAACGACCGCGGTAATTATTTCCTGGATTTCCTCACGGGGAAATAAAAAAATATATATATATATCGTGGCCAAGAAGCGAGATTCCTGCAAGCTCCTAGAATATCCGTGTCGCGCACGCGTAATCCCCGACTCCGAAACGCGCGTTTCCACCGGTGGATTAATCCGCCTCGACCGGTATAAACGTTGGAATTAAAACCTTAGCGCGAAAGGACTTGTCGCAATGATCAGGGCTCCTTGTTCGCAGTCCACAATGGCGGGAAAGGTGGTCATTGTAGGCCAGGTACCCGAACGGCGACAAAGCCTTGCAATTTCAGGGTAAACCCCGACGAAGCGAGTCCCTCCTCGAACTTAACCTAGGGCCCCTCCACCTGTACGTAGCCGCCTAGAATTAATTTCCGCGAGGATCGGAGTTTATCCCCCGAGTCCAAGGAGGAGAGGAAAAAGTCGGTTGCGAGGAGTCGGGGGGATCCTCGCAAGGGGGTCCCGCGTCCTCGCGCGTGGCTGGGTTCCAGCACGCGTGGGCGATGCTGCGGCACGCGACACGACCGTTACGTTCGAAACTGGCACCGTGGAGGGGGGGGTGCACGGTGGAGGGTGAAATTCAGAAGGGGAACGAGTACGCTCGCACGAGCACGCACGCACGTGCGGAAATCCGCACGTCCGAGCGCGCTCATGGGGGGGCGAGAGGAGGGGATAGGCGAGAGCGCTCACACGAGCGCGCTCGCCCTCTCTCTCGCGCGCCCACGCCCCCCCGAGCGCCGTCCCGCTCCCGCGGTCCCCTCCTCGACCGCCCGGCAGCGCGCGCGGCGGGCATCTGCCCGCGACACGGCACTCACACGCACGCCCAGCGCGGCAGGCCGCGGAACAGATGGCCGCGCCCCTATTGGTCGGCGGCCCGCGACCCGCGCGATCCTATTGGCCGGCCGCGCGGGGCCCGCGCCCTCCCATTGGCCCGGCAGCACGTGCGGGCCACCTGCGCCCGCATGGTGGGGCCCGCGCCTATATATACTCCCTGGGCGCCCCCTGCCAGCAGAAATCGGCTAGCCGCCGCGCCCGGATCACGCTGCCAGTCGGTCTTCCCTCGAGCCCCGCTCCGAGTCACCTCGGAAGAACCCGAGCATCGTTCTTATCCTCTTCGTCTCGCAGTGCCTTTATCATCCGAGGATCCTTTTTCACGGGCCTGAAGGACCAATGTGCGCGACAGTGCGGTGACATTCCGAGAACTTAGATTCCCTCGACCTCGTCTCCCTGACACTCGCGGAGGGCCGAGGGTGGTTTCTGTTTATTGTTCTGTGAAAAGAAAAAGAGGTGGTCGACGATTTTGGATTACCGCAAGTGCGTCGTTCGAGCCGGAAGGCCGTAACGCAGGAGATGCTCGTCGACGAGATGCCGCGCAGTTTCGTTAAAAAGAACAACAGCTACAGTCACTGTCCGCTCAAGAAGCGGCCGGTGCACGTCATGCTCTCCGAGGAGACGCCGGAGGTCGTGAAAGGTGAGGGTCGACTTTAAAAAATATTCCACACTTTTTTCTCTCCCTTACTTTCAAATCATTCCATTTCAATAAATTCCCCGTAACTGCCCACGTTTTTCCCGGAGATCGTAAAATTGACGGATAAAAATTGAAAACCTTCAAGTCCAATAACCAAATTTTTAAATAATCTTCCAGAGGAAATCATCGAAGTGGTGGCCGACGACATCCCAGAGCCGGAGAACCTGAGCACGAAGCCGGAGGACCTCAGCAGAGCGTCCGAAAAATTCAAGCTGGATCGTCATTCCCGGTCCCCGAGTCCGTACATGCGCGCAGCATCCCCAGTTACGGGTCACGCCGCGCACCTGCAGCCGGCCGAGCCGCTGCAGCACCATCAGCACGCGCACGCGCACCCACATCCACCCCACCACCAGCACGCGGGACACCCTCCTCAGCAGTTCCCGGCAAAAGCGCTGACGCCCCCAGCAGGCATCGCGCCGATCCACCCTGTGGCGAAAAAAGCGCGAGTGGAGGTCCTCCAGCACGAGAGCGCGACCCCTCCGGCGCCGCTGCGGTTCCTGGGCGGAAAGTCCCCGTTGGAGCCCTTGAACCTGAACACCCCGGTGGAGGCGCTGTCCGCGGCGTACGGAGCCCCTGCGTGGGCGCGCACCGCGCCCCTCTACCCTCCGCACTACCTGCCGTACCCGACAGCGGCCGCGGCCGCGGCCGCCGCAGCGGCCTACAGGTACCCGGGCGCGGAATTGTACCCGTCGTACCCGGTGCCGGCGTACCCGCACTCCTCCCCGGAACACCCATCGGCGTCGCCGCCACCACACGCGGCGTTGACTTGTCCCACCATCCAGCGACCCATCGCCAGGAGCTACGCGGCCCACTGGGCCAGCCCGGACCATTGCGGCCTCTCTCCCACCAGCTCCCTGGGCTCGGGGTCCCTGAGGTCGCCTCCACCGGTCAGCCCCGAGGACCTCAGCTCACCTGGCAGCGACAGTGGCCGGTCTTCTGCCGGCAGCACCTCCGCTGGACCTCCACCCATGGTCAATCAGAAGGGCGACAAGGCCGCCACTTCCGGCTCATCTCCTCGGTATCAGTGCCCCGACTGCGGGAAGTCCTACTCCACCTACTCTGGACTCTCCAAGCACCAACAGTTCCACTGTGCTGCCGCGGAGGGACAGGCCAAGAAGTCCTTCTCCTGCAAGCACTGCGAGAAGGTCTACGTCAGTCTTGGTGCCCTCAAGATGCACATCAGGACCCACACCCTGCCCTGCAAGTGCCACCTGTGTGGAAAGGCCTTCTCCAGACCTTGGCTACTCCAGGGACACATTCGCACCCACACTGGGGAGAAGCCCTTCAGTTGTCAACACTGCAACAGGGCTTTCGCTGATCGCAGCAACCTCAGGGCTCATCTCCAGACTCACAGCGATGTTAAGAAGTACTCCTGCGCGAGCTGCAGCAAGACCTTCAGTCGCATGTCCTTGCTTACCAAGCATCAGGAAGGTGGGTGCCCTGGGGTCGCCGTGCCCATGGGGTATGGCTGTTAGGGGACGGTGTTCGGAGACTCCCTCGTTGACCCACCTTGTGTGCCTTACTTAGGACTGCTCCTTACAGTACAAAAGGTGCTGACCTCGTGTATATAGACCGCATCGCTCTCCGATAGGGGACCTCACGGATACTTATTCCTCGTTAAGGAACGAAAATTCTTAGGTTAAGGTCGATATTATGCGCGATTTCCGAGTTACCGCTTGACGCGGTCCCGTGAACTCTGCCGTGCCATCTTATTTTCCAGACGTTTTACATGTGCTTCTCATATTTTATTTAAGCCTCTCCGGGTTCCGACTTTTCTCTCTCGCGGATCGAACGTTAAGGATCCATGGTTTATTTTTTTTTTTTTGCGGTTAATTCCAAGTGCTACGGATTTTTTTTTTCCTTTTTTCTCTTATTTTTTTTTCGTATCGTCCTCGTCAGGCGGAGAGAACGAAACTTGAGGGAGAGAGAATTGTACGTGATTCCTTGCTGCTTTTCTGTTTTTTCTTTTTTTTTTTACGTCCACTTTTAGTAATTTATGACAACTAGGCTTAAGGTCCAAGAGCCGCGAGCACCAAAGTGCCATTTCTCGTGTTTTGTCTTTCTGCGAAAGGTTCCTCCTTTTTTTTCCTTCACCTGTATATGTATCATTCGCCGAATGGAATCGATTGAATTCCTACGTCTTGTTTGAAATATTGTTTCCTTGTTCTTTTTTATTTTTTTTCTCGCGTTTTAGTGTTACGTTCCACGCCGTCGAAAACGAAAAGGAAGACCGACGCTCTAAAGAGTTGGTGGCGTCTCACGCCTCGTATGGTATTTTCCTTTCTTCCTTTTTCATTTTCCTTTTCGCTTGTCGACGCGTTTTCCACCTCGTTTTGCGTTCTCGCTTAGTAACTACGTTATGTTTTTCCGACCTATTTCCTAAGTTACTCGATGAAACTAGTCATTGTATCATACTGTGTGAGAGAGGATGTGCGACGAATGAAAGGGGATGACTCGCCCGCGCCCGTTTATATCACAATTGAATTTTTTCTTTTCGCATTATTTTTATCCGATCGAAGAAAAAAAAAGTATGAGCTCTCTGCCAAAATTTGCAACGTGCGATCGAGTTACCAATTTTGTTCGTTTTCCGACTGCCGGGATCGCGCGCGACTCGGGGCGAGTACTACTATGTCTGTCTTGTGTAAAGAAAAATAGCTACTACGAGAATAACAAATTATTGCCTATAAATATATATNAATCGAAATGGGTTAAAAAATATTCCCGTAAATTGTCGGAAATATTTCTTTGGCTGTTTTGTCGAAAATTGTCGGGAGGCCATTCTTCGGGAAGTTCGCAGGCTAACCTCCAAGGCCCGATTCTTCGGGATTGGATTTAAGACTCGCGGAAGTTAGGCCGAGGACGTGGTACCGGTTTCGGAACAGGTGCGCCATTGCCGGTCCACCCGGGTCTTTTGTCGCCGACACAAGGACTCCTCTACGAGACAAGGACAATGCCCGACTCCAAGCCTTCCCCTCGGACGGAGCTTTCGAGGATTTCTCGAAACCCTCCAAACTGTCCCGCGCCGTTCAACAATACTAATATCATTTCCGGCAAACTGAACGAATACCTGGCATTTTTTTTTCAACCTTTGAATTCCTGTAGGCGTGATATCGTTTTCATTTCTGACACGCCATTGAAGGGTACTTATATAATTTGCTGCATGGAAATAAAAAATTTTCTAAACCTTGGAATTTTTCCCCGCGTGATTTTTAATGATTCGTTGAATGGCGAACAATTTCCTGCGTGAAATGTAAGAAATTTTTTGAACCTTGGAATTTTTCCCCACGTGATTTTTGACGTTTCGTCGAATGACGAATAATGTCCTGGGTTAAAATGTAAGAAATTTTGGAAAAATTTTTTAAACCTTGGAATTTTTCCCCACGTGATTTCTGACGATTCGTTGAATGGCGAACAATTTCCTGCGTGAAATGTAAGAAATTTTCTAAACCTTGGAATTTTTCCCCACGTGATTTTTGACGATTCGCCGAATGCCGAACAATGTCCTGGGTAAGATGTAAGAAATTTTGGAAAAATCTTCTAAACCTTGGAATTTCTCTCCACGTGATTTTTGACGTTTCGTCGAATGGCGAACAATGTCCTGGGTAAGATGTAAGAAATTTTTAAAAAATTTTCTAAACCTTGGAATTTTTTTCCACGTGATTTTTGACGATTCGTCGAATGGCGAACAATTTCCTGCGGGAGATGCAACGAATTTTGAGAGATTTCGGGAACCTTGGAATTTTTGTCTACGTGATTTCTGGACGCGTTCTTTATCCGGGGTTGGTCTATATACGAGAGAGAGAGGGGCAGGCGGAAGCCCCGTGAAAGACGGAGACAAGAGGCAGGTAAACTCTCGTTCCTTTCCATTCTCTGGTTTTTCCTGCCCCTCGCCCCTTTCCTAGGGGAAGCGTTCTTCCTCGAAGATCGAGGAGGACAATGCTATCGCCCCTGGGTCCTAGAAACGCGTCATTCGGGCATCTGCGCGTCACCGAGAACTTCTCGTTTGTTTGTCAACTCGCGGGATCTGATAAGTTCGACGCAGATTAGACTCCCTAGCTACCTTTGTTCCGAGTCGGTCATCGGATCGCGGCGAGTGACGAGGTTCTACTTTAAAGAAGACAAAGTGATAGTGAATCAGTCCCGATTGCCGAATCGTCCTGGACACCCCTTCTCTTCGCCCCAGATGAAGGTCCTTGCAACCCCGAAGGAGCCGCCATACCCTTAGGTCAAAAATTCATGACACGCCGACGTGTTATCATAATTTGCCTCGAAATAAATTCCCGGAGAAAAATATGTACAGGTTGAAAACTATAGTCATTATATTATATATGTAACTATATAATATTTTGCGAGGAATTTTCCGACACCTGTCGGGATTTATTTAGATAACCTAAATTATTTGGACAATTTCCGAAATCGAGGGAAAGGATGTCCTTATCGAGTTCGATTATACTCTGGCCATGATAACAGGGTCGAATCTCGGGAATGTAACTATATAATATTTACTCATTCAAGAGGTTCAAAAAACAACATTCATTGTTCAATTTGACACGCCAGGCTGAAAATCGCAGATAATGACTAGGTCTGAGTTTCGCGCCTCTATATATATATTTGGCGCGAAACTCTACCGAGTTTCTTAATGTCGCGAGGAATTTTCCGACACCTGCCGGGATTGATTTACATAACCTAAATTATTTGGACAATTTCCGAAATCGAGGGAAAGGATGTCCTTATCGATTTCGGGAGTTCGATTATACTCAGGCCGCGATAACGTGGCCAATCTCGGGAATCGTCGGGATGTTCGAAATCTGCCGCGAGGTCAAAGATGGCGGGTCTCGCCTCGGTAGTCTCCGGGCAAAAAGTGACTCGGCAAAAAGGTTCGATTAGCCCGAGCAGCAGCGGGAAGGCGTCGCCGGATGTCACGAGGATTTCGCGCGTGATCCCAGAGAACGTTCCCCGATCTCACGACACCTTGACCTCGAGGCCCTCGAAGATGCCGGCGGACCTCGGAGGTTCCCTACCTTGGGAACCAGTTGAAAAAGCGAGGCGTCCGCCCACCCCGACGCCCTCGTTCTCGTTCGAGGTCCTCCACCTGTAGACGAGGCGACCTTAAATCAATCATAAACAACTTCCGGAAAACAAGATCTCGCGATATTTCCGACCGGAGAGGTCGACCTTAGGAATATTCTCGACATAAAAAATGGACTAAGATTTTACGGAAGAATTGAATCTAGGAAAAACATAGACACAAGGAAGAAATTATTTCATATTTTCTCTATATATTTCTTTTTGAAATTCTTTTTTGGGGGCCCTACCCGTGAAAGGATCTCGGGAGCCAATTTGGCAGGTCGACCTCGTTACTCGGGTCGAAACAATCTCTGCCTCCCCCAGGAGGAACCTGTTGCGGGGCCTTAAGGTCTTTAAGGTGGCGTGCACAACAGATGGCTCGCGATGCTCAGGTTCCACCTGCCGAAGCCCGGAGCGGATTTCGCGAGGGTGGGGCCCAGGTCGGGCCCAAACTGGGCCCCGAGACCTTTCCTGGGCCCTAGGGCATCCTCGTTCGCGTCGACTCCAGAGATTCGTGTGCGTGCGCGTAGGGACTCGGTGTAGGTGGAGGGCCCGGAGGAGTGGAGGGCCGCGTCACCTTAAATCAGGCCCAAGTCCTGTACCTTGTATCTAAATTGGCCGGGGGTATGAATTTATTCCCGCGTAAAAACCGCCATTACTGTACTTTTCGCCCAGGCTTTAATGACGCCTTAACGGGCCCCGGGCCTCGCGTCCTCGGGCCCCGAGATACCATCGGGGCCCGAGCATCGTCGTTAAGGTCGCCTTATCACCCGGGACCACCTTATCGAGGGGGACCCCGGAGAGATCGAGCCACGCGACTCGGGCCCCCAAATCCGACATTTTCGCGAACGAAACCCGATAAACTCTTTAACACTAAGTTTAAGGGTGTTTTATATATATATACATATGTTACGGTGAATGACCGAAATTGGAGAATGTCGACTTTCACCGGTGAATGTCAACAGATACCAAATACGTCTGTGAAAGATCGCGTGACAATCACACACCGGTGAATGTCAACATTTACCGGTGTAAATCAGAAATAAGGGTATTTAGCAAATATTTCGGACATACACTAAGCGACTATGTGAATGTTCACATTCACCGGTGAAAGTCGACATTCTCCAGATTTCGGTGTTTCACCGTAATGTATATATATATACCTGTTTCTACGAGCATCCGTCAAATTGACGGGCAAACGAAAGCACGGATTTTCCTTAAAAAATCGATTTTTAAAAATTATCACGGAAATTATTGGAATGCTCGTCCTCTCATCCTCGGAGTCGGAACTAGAAAGAATGCGCATCCTTTTCTTCCTACGACACCCTTTCGAGATGTTTTCCTCTTCACTATCCGAAGATCCTTCTATCTTTCCACTTTCAATGCAAACTTTCACTCTCATCTTCGC